ACCACGCTGGTGATGCCCATCACCCTCCAGCTGCAGGGCTCTCCCAAGGAGACCAGAGCCCCTCGGGCAAGGTGAGGGCACATGGATGGCTCCTGCTCCCCTGGCCACCCTGCTAGTGGTACACAGCCACCTCTCCACTCTGCCTTAGAGGGAATAGCCATTTATCTCAGGTGCTGGGAATGAATTTCCCCCTGCATCTCCTCCCCTGACCCTGATGAAGACCCCAGAAGTGAGGGGTCCTCACGATGCCCTACGCTGTACCCATCCTCTCCAAGCTAACACTGAAAGCACCAGGACCAGGCTGGAGGTGTCCACAGGAGCCAGCAAGAAACAGATCATCACCTCTGCTGGGATGAAACAGCGCATGGAACCCATGAGGAAAGAAGAGCACAGGGAAGGAAGAGTCCCAGGGTGCCAGGCTCTCCTGCCAGCCACATCCCTGATGCTGCTCCCAGGGCTGAGCTCTGCTCAGCAAAACAACCACGCAGCAAAGCTGGGCTGGATGGCAGGACAGGTCTGACCTTCCCTGCGGGCTGCTTTGGGGCTCTGCCCATTCCAGACAGCTTTCACATCAGGTAGCATCAGCCTCAACTTGCAGATGCCCTCGCTGAGCCCCACAGTGTGCCAGGGAGATGATGCACAGAGGGGTCCAAGCCCGCTCCGGGCTCACCTGGATACCAGGGGACCGTGGCATCTGGCAGCGATTTCACTAAGGCCACCTTATCAATGGTGGCAATTCAGGAATTAATAGAGCCAGGCTGGCAGGATGCAGGAACATCACCCATTTAGTGTCATATTGTGAGACTTTTAATTACTGGGGGAACATGGAGTCATGTAATAATTACAAGAACAAATACTTAAAAGTGTGTGGAAATTAACTGAGCCTTGGCAGTAATTAAGCTTGAAGATTAATCAGTCGTTAGCAAATAACACCCTTTGCAGGCTAACTGCTATGTGGGGAAGAAGGATGACGGGGACGTCAGCGCTGCAGAGCCCAGCCTTCCCCTCTGCCCCCATCCCACGGGCTTGGGGTGGACAGGGGCAGCCCAGCTCCTGGACAAGGGCTTCTCCGAGCCCCAATGCTGTCAGGTTATGGTGCCAGCTTGGGTCAGCCACTTCAGACCCCCTTCCTCCCTCCCATGCACTTTCCAGCAGGGAATCAACACTTCCACTGCAAACTAATATTTCCCTTGCCCAGTAAATAGCTCTCCAGGAGGTTTCCATAAGTACTTCTAATTTCCTTCCCCTCTGCTGATTTATGAGGGTTGCATTCAATTAAGAGCAGTATTGATTTTCCTGCAGCTGGCTGGCAGACTGCTCGCCCTCCTTAGGGAGCCCATCACTTCCCTTCGCAACACGGGCAGGGTGCAGGACCAGGGGCACAGCAGGCTGGTTCACAGGTGCAGCTTTTGTCCCTTTACTCCAGTGTGACATCCCACAAAAGCCCTGGGCAGCTCTTCTGAGGAGGACATTGGACAACTGGGTTTTCCAAGAGTCCTATCTAAGGGGCTGGAGGACTACATATATAGTTAGAACAAGTCCAGAGGAGGTCACAAGGATGATCCGAGGGCTGGAGCAGCTCTGCTGTGAGGACAGGCTGAGAGAGTTGGGGCTGTTCAGCCTGGAGAAGAGAAGGCTCCAGAAGAGCTTCTAGTGACTTCCCGGTACCTGAAGGGGCTACAAGAAAGGTGGGGAGGGACTTTTCATAAGGGCAGTTAGTGATAGAACAAGGGGAAATGGGTTTAAATTGGCAGAGGGGAGATTTAGATGAGATATGAGAAAGAAGTTCTTCACTGTGAGAGTGGTGAGACACTGGAACAGGTTGCCCAGAGAAGCTGTGGCTGCTCCTCCCTGGAAGTGTTCAAGGCCAGGCTGGATGAGGCTTTGAGCAACCTGGTCTAGTGGAAGGTGTCCCTGCTGATGGCAGGGGGGTTGGGACTGGATGAGCTTTAAGGTCCCTTCCAACCCAAACCATTCTATGATTCTATGAATCTGTAGAATATTCAATCAAACAGCACCTATGGAGCAAGAAAGATCTTGGAGCAACTTTTGGCCACATAAAGCTGCCTGCTTCAGCAGCTGGGAGGTTTCCCAAGGCAGGTCATTAATTACACCCCATATTTTGTGTATATGTGCCAATTCTTCTTTGCACATTCCAAGGGGAAAAGCCACCTCTACCCTCCTTGGAGCTGTGTTGGAGGGGGACGGTGCTCACAGGCTATTCCATAAAGCCCACCAAAGCCTTCATCTGCTTCTTCTTCGTTGGGGCTCTGCAAACACAGGCCCTCCCAATTTCATCAGAAATCCCGTGTTAAGCAGGAGAGCACTTTGTAAAAGCAAGAATTAATCCACTTTTGTGCAGGTGGAATTGCAAAGCCCACGCTCGCGGCTCTGCTGAACACGGAAGGAGATGAAGGCATCTGCCATGCTAACCAGAGCCGCTTTAAAGAATGAAATCCCTTTGAAATTAGCACCCTTTAATTGTATTATCTTTTGCTGACGGCTTCAAGTCGGTCACTGGAGATCAAAGAGACACAGACAGGGAGGGAAGGCGGAAAAAAGCCCTTGGTGGAGTCCCAGCGTCCTAATAACGAGCAGCACCAGGCGTCTCCGTGGCCATGGGGCTGATCTGGGTTCAGGAGCCACCGCTCAGTCCTGGTGCAGCCGGTGCTGCCCGTTCCCCCCTCGGCACAGGGGGTCCCCAGGGGCTGCAGCTGGTTACCCCAAAAGGGACGGGGACCTCGGCACCCTCACTCCACAGGGTCCCAGCCCAGTTTTTGCACCAGCTGCTGTTCATTCCCCCCAGGGATGCTCCAGGCAGCTCTGGAGAGAGTCTATCAGAGCAGTGGGGTCAGCTTGGAGCCAGGCTCTGCTCGGAGCAGGGTGGCAGACGGGGTGCATTGGCTCTGCACCCTTCCAGCTGCCTCGTGCACTCCGCAAAGGAGGGCAGGGACTGGGACAAGCCAAAAAAGGACACTACAGATGAGGGAGCAGAGATGGAGCCGCTCAAACCCACTGAGACCCAGCAGAGCTGTAACACTTCCAACACATCTGTGAGCACAGACCTTGGGCAAACCCAGGGGCTGCAGGGAAGGAGAGGAAACGCTTAGCAAGTGTTTGCAAACGCTGCCAGTGCTTCATTACAGACCATCACAGCTAAAAATCCACCCACAAGAAACACCCTCTCCCCTTCCCCCTCGCGAAGGTTCCTTCATCTCGAGATGCTCTGCCCTATGACCAAACCCTGATCTTCAGAGGGTAGGTGAGAACAAGGAGATGACACAGATGGGTTTTAATGCAGGATTAATTGAAGGGACCAGAATGCACTTAAGGGGTAATTTATAATTTATAATCAGCAAAAGGCAATAAACTAGTTATTTTATATTCCTGAAAATTAAGACATCTGTAATCTCAACTGCTCAAACCCATCTCAGCACATACACAACACTGTGGCTGTTTTGATGTGCTGGGTCCATAACCTCCCATCCCCTCTGGTCTCTCCAAGTGATGGCCCTGGAGTCACCAGCCACACGGCAGATCTGAAACGCGAGATCCCCATCTGCAGCAATTGCTGCCAGTTCACATAAATGCTTTTTACGTTTATCGCTCGGCTGCTGGTGTACAGAAATTACCATCACCTGAAAGTACTGGTTCTTTTAAAATGTGATCAGCCAAGAAAATCATCAAATGTGAGTGAGCGCCTGGCTGTAATAGTCCTGCCTATTCCTCTCTGGGATTACTGTTGTCCTCCTTGTACGCTTGAGTACCAGTTTTCCCACCCAGCCCCGTAACGACAAAACCCCCAGCCCCTGCCATTACCAAGGCAAATTATATTTTTCAGTGGTTGAAACTAAAAGGCAAGACCATGCACTGCGAGGCTGCCTGTGCAGCTAGAACTCATGTGTGCCCGCAGAACGGCGCCGCACAGCCACTAATTACAGGCTCACTTACTCTGTTTTCCATTATAGGTGCAAAAGAGACTTGGAAGGAAAGTGAAGGAGAGAAATGGAAACAGGGAGGCATGTGAAGCCCTGCTGGCTGCAGAACATGGCCATGGCAGGAGGCAGAGGTGGGAATGCCTGGTGGGAGATGCAGGGATGCCCCACAGCTCCCACGCTGGCTCCGGTGGCACGGCACAAGGCAGTGGAGACCACTGCATGTCACGTCCCTGCCACCGTGACTCCACCTGAGCGAGATCTACACCAGCACTTTTTTTTTTTGCCTTGCAAAGCTTGTCCCAAGCTCTGCCCCTCAGTTTTTTCATCTCTGCCCCTCCATATCCAAGGCATGTTAGATACCATTTTCCCAGGTCTTTGCACAACAGCCAAATTGGTATTAATAAATGTATAAAGGCTCTCAAAGCAAAGGGAAACATCTCTTTAGTAAATCAGCATGTCAGGATGGGAAGGTCTGATGCCATCTCTCAAGCTGCATGCGGTGTGTGCATCACAGGGAGCCCAGATGCCAGCTCTATGCCCTGAGCATTTCGGGGTCCAACAATTTGCTCCTATTTCATTTTAAGCCTTGCTCAACGCCAGGACTGAACATATCAGCCCTGGATTTCAAACAACAATCATTTCCACACCTACACGAGGAATATGGGCACAAAGAAACCAGCCTGAGCTCCCTCTGGGATTTCATGGCAGAGAGAGGACAGCCCACGCACCAGGTACTGCTCCAGATTTCATCGAGTCCCACCACAGCATGGCAGTGAAGAGACACCCTCCCACACCACAACACCAGCAGCTGGGACAAGTGCCACAGGAAACCTCAAAATCACAGTAATTTCAGAAATCACAAAAGAAACAGGTTCCAGAAATGGCCAACAACAAAACCACAGAAGATGTGCCTAAGTCCCATGCCCTGGTGGGCTCCACCACCCCCACGCAGCAGCTCAGCCCAACACCGCAGAGCACATCGGGGTTTTTCACTCCCGCAAACCCCCCGAGCCTGGTGCTGCTCCACGGGGTCTGCACGGGGCATCAGCGCGGCCGACTGACCTGTCCAGAGGGAATCGTGCTTCATCCCCTTTGTGGAAGTCCGTGCTATTCTCCAGCCTGGCCAGGATGTCCATCCTCTTCATCAGCATCTCCAGCATGTCGCTCATTCTCCGCAGCACACCTCGGGACTCCAGCGCGCCCATCACTGCAGGCACACAAAGAGCAAGTGAGACACGGTCACGGGCTGGGTGCTGCCTTGTCAGACCAGAGAAAATCCCCCTCCCCACGGCCTCACCCCAAAGCTGCCCATGGTCCTGAGCTCCCCAGCCCCTCCGATGGTGCTTTATGGACCATGTCAGTGCTCTGCTGTGTCCCTGATATCCCCTCCCTGGCTCTGCCAACAGACCCACAGCCCCATCGTCCTGCCCAAGTGTCCTGGTTTGCAGCTGGGACAGAGAGAATTTTCTTTTTAGCAGCTAGAACAGCGCTGGGTTTTGGTCTCTGCCGGGATTTGATATGAGAAGAACATCGGTAACATACCAATGGTTTCAACTGTCACTGGAAGTTGAAGGACTTTCCAACTTCCTCAGTTGCAGGCACAAAGGACTAGGGAGGTGGAGAGTACAATTAGTAAACCCAAACTGGCATTTGGCTCTGCCAATGAGATATTCCACGTCATATAACGTCATGGTCAGTATATTAATGAGGGTTGACTGGAATGCTCAGTTTTTTCATGCTCTTGTGCATTCTCTTCCAGGATTGTGGCTTTGGGATTATTGCTCCTCTGGGTTTGTTATCCAGGAACAGGCCAGGGTTGGTCAGTAGGTGGTGAGCAATTGCACTGTGTATCACTCATTTGGATTTTCTACTATTACCATTATTATTGTCATTATTAAGTTTTATTTTATTCCAATTATTAAACTGTTCTTATCTCAACCTATAAGTCTCCTTATCCTCACCACTCCAATTCTCTCCTCTGTTCCCTGAGGCCACAGAGAGAGCAAGCTGCTGTTTGGAGTTTGGCTGCTGGCCGGGTTAAACCACCACACCAGCCATGGTTAATCCCTGCCTGTGCCCAAATCCAGCTGTGCTGCCACAGCTCCTGATAGCCAGCGGTTATACCAGCCCTGGATCCAGCTTCCTCATCTGCCTCTCCGGGCATAAACTCCTGACTTGTCCACCTGATCCAGCCTGTCCTGAGCACTGATGGGAAACTGATTTTATTCTTAAACACTAACCAAACAAGCTTTGATTTTGCACTTCTATTTTTCACTCTCCGAGTCCCACCTAGCCCAGCATCCTGCCTTTGACAGCAGCCTGCAGGGGATGCTTGAGGAAAAGCATGGGAAATAGAGCACAGAGCTGGTCCTCCCCCAACATATCCTCCCAGCAGCACCGGATTTTCCTGTTATAGAGAAAAAAATATTTTCTACCCAAATCTGCTACCAGGTGGGTTCTCCAGCACTGGAAATAGCTCTGTCTCAAGCACTGCATCTCAGTGAACCCCCCCTGGCAGGGAAGGTCCCCAGTTCCCAGCCCCATTTAACACTCTGCTTCTTACAGGTTTGCACGAAGCGCCAGCAGATACACGAGCTCCCAGTTCCCAGTTTGATCTGCTGTCTGGTGACAGGCAGACCCAAGCCCAAAGGCAGGGAACAGAAAATAAAGCTCCTGTTTCATCTCAGTGTGGCTCATTTCACGTTAGTAATAACTTAATCAGCGCATAATCCCCTGAACTTCTCCTGTTTAGCTTATCTCTGCCATTCCACTCACACAAGCTTTTCCAGAGCAGCACATATCTAATTTAGGGAGCAGTAGGAGCCAGGTGAGCGGCTGCTGGACACCCCAGGGTGGTTATCGGGACTTGGGGACATCTCATGCATCGCCAAACAGATGCAAAACCGGGTCTTGCAAAGCCAAAGGGTGGCTGTGCTGGTGCATCCCCTGGGTCCCCACCCCCCCACAGCACCCTGCACCCAGCTCAGCCCCAGCACTGGGATGGATGGGGTATCCCACAGCATTGCGTGCTGGGGACAGCACTGGCACAGGCTTCTCCTCACTGCAGGAGCTGCCCCAAGCTGTTGTGCACATCAAACAGCACGGAGACCGGCTGGAATTTGGGGTCTGGATGGTTTTGCTATTCAGATAATGGTGTGTATGGCTGTGGTGGGAACCAGCTCACCACAACAGCTCCCACTGCTGCAGGGATGCAGCCCCGGCTCCCTCCCAGCTCCCCCAGTACATCACTCCAGCTCCAGATGCTGCAGCACTGGAGCCCCGGTTGCTCTCCAGCTCTGATGGAGGAGGGTGGCACCAGCACCACAGCTGAACCGGGGGCTTCGGCACTGGTATGTCCCCCCCCAACAAAAGCATCGCATCGCTGCGGCCGTCTATTGCTGTGGGACACGTGGCACATGAACACACGGTTACAAGCCAACCCTTAACCCCTCCGAGAAGTTGACACCAGGCCAGCCAGACCTCGCCAAGGGCTGTTAGCCACGCTTGGCTGAGATTATCAGCAACACGTTATTTTTCCTGATGCTATCTAACAAAACAGAAGAAAAATTGAGAACAAAATCAATCCCTCAAAAAAAACCCAAAAAAACCAAAACAACCCAACCATTAACGGGGATTGAAACCAGGTTCTTCCCCTAATGCTCCCTGCACTCCCACAGTGAGAAGTCAACGACTTCTGCTTGAACCAGTGGGTGCTCGAGGTCCTGCACAGCCCCACACCTCCCTGGTCTGGGGGGTCTGGGATTGCAGCAGCCACCTTTGCCCATCCCACCAGGAAGGTCTCCCAATCCCCTGGGTGGGACACAAGACACACAGCCTGTCCAATTACAGGGCAGAAGTGCTCATGAATTTGCAATTACAAGGATGCTATGGGGGGAAAAAAGTGGAAATTTGGAGCTGAGTTTGTATAGGGCACTCCCCCAACACAGCTGAGCAAACCAAGCAAAGACACGGCCAAGGAAAACAGAGAAGCTCTGAGATGGGCTTAAGTCACAAAATCCACATTAGTTATTTCCCCCCAGTCTTTCACACCCACCCCAGTGACATCCTCACCACCCTGGGCTGTGTTCACAGCCCCCAGCACCCTCCATCTGCCTGCCCCTGGTGGCTTCCAGGACCAACCAACCCCCAAACAGGGCTTTTTGCTCCAGATTTGCTCCTGCTCCAACACCCCAGCACTGCTGGTGGGTCAGAGCTTCCACTCTGAACTCTGTTTTTGAGTGAGATGGACACTGTGCATCCTTCTTGCACACTCCTGCGCTGGCTGGAGTCTGGAGGACAGGAAAAGGACCCGACAGAACCACTGCAGCTGGTGAGAAGGGCTTAAACCACAATCAGCACCTTTCCATGGATGGAGTGGTACCCCTGGCCCAAGGATTTGGATCCCAGCTTGTACTGGGGCGGGGGGGGGTCAGGTCATGCTGGTTGACTGGGTAGATGCAAGGATCATGGCTGGGAAGGTAATTGAGATGATTGAGAGCCGCTGCTGCCTTTGCCGCTCAGGGCTGGGCTGTCACCCCGATTTGCAGCCAGGCTGCATCCGTTTCATTATGAAGGCCTGTTCAGTGGTGCAGCTCATTTGAAATTTAAATGGCTGCTCGCAAAGCCCGAGCACAGAAACAGCTCTGGCCCCTGATTAAAGCCCAGATGCACGTACAGAGCTTGTCCCCATAGAGGAGACCTGGGAAAAGCCCTTTCCGAGGAGCTTGGGATGGGTCTCCAGCCCCGCTAAAGGAGCCCAATCCTGCCCTCGGCAGGAGGACAAGGGAAACTGAGGCACAAAGCTGCACAGGGCTCATGTTTTCAGTAGACAGCATGGAGCTGATGTCTGTGCCCAGCACCCACGGGTGCTCAGATCCATGCCCCACCATCTGGGCAAGGCTCCTCAGGATCACCCCATGCTCAAGCAGGAGCAGGAGGAGATGTCAGAGGAGCCGGCAGTGCGTGGAGCTGTGATCCTCAGCCCCACAGCCGAGCCCCCAGCTCCAGTCTGGCCCCCCCAGCTCTCCCGCTGGCTTCGCGGAGATTTCCCTTCGTGTTGCTGCTGCCATCCAATTTCCCAGCTGATTTTGAGCGATTCCAGGATGCTTTTCAACAGCAAAGTTGTCAACAGTGAACAGAGATATTCCTGCTCTAATAAAGAAATAAAAAACCACTCCAAGTCCTAGAGTAAAAATAGTAATAAAATAAAAATAATCTCAGCCTTCAGTGGGTTATCTTTTCGGGCACTCTGCCAGAAAGCAGAGCTGTCGTGAGGCACATCTCCCCCCAGCCCTCCCCTGGCTTCAGGAGATGAAGTCAAAGCCCTTCCTCATCAACACCTCACTTTTTCTGATCCTGGTCTTTTTCTTGTTGTTGTTGTTCCAGAAGCTTAAGGAGGCTAACAAGAACGACTTGACATTTTTGGCAACGATTATTACATCTCTTGGAAAGTGTGTCTCATTAAAAACCAAAAGAAAGGAGGAAAAGTGCTGAAGCAACTCTTTTAAAAATACAAGAGACAGGATTGATTTATTAACCTGAAGCAGAGACCCAGACACCCACCGACCGGCTGCTCGGCTGCCTGACTGCACGTGCCGGCAACAGGGGTTCGGAGACAGAGGTGAGCCCGGCCGGTAGCCCCAGCTTCTCCCCTTAAACCAGCAACAAAGATCTCCAAGAAACTCTCCAACAGCACCAAGGACAGACAGTTTAAACCAAAACCCAACTCGATAGCATGAAAACCCAGTGAAATCGTCCTACAAGCCACCTTTTTTAATAAGCAAGCAAGCTGCTAATTACAAAGGAGAAATATTCTAATTGTCCTTGATAATCAGCAACGATGGGAAAGAAAACACAAGTGAAACTGCTCAACAGATTAATTGGAGTTTGCTAAAGTATGACAGGTTTTTGACAGTTTTCCTGAGTGGCAGCCACTCTTTAAAGGCAATCACTGAACCTGACAGAGGTTTTCATAGCAGCACTAGGAAATAATGATGGCAATCAATCATATCTTACTGGATTTCATGAGACATGCCGGTAAACACAGTGGAGGGAGGAGAATTATTTATGGTGCTTCAGAAGAGCATACAGCTAAGTAATTGGATGAAATCAGGGGAAAAAAAAGAAAGCATCCCCTAAGGGGATGTCGAGTGAAAAACAGAAATAGTTTCTCTGCGAAACCAGTGGAAGAGCCAACAGTCAATATGC